AGGGTGTATTGGGAGGTGTACCTTATATTTGTATGTCGGATACATCCTTCACATAGGTATTGACGGTGCATTTCACTGCTTATTAAGGGTGTATTAAGAGGTGTACCTTATATTTGTATGTCGGATACATCCTTTACATAGGTAATAACGGTGCGGGGAAAGTTACATTTTATTGCCTAACAAATTCGTTAACAAATTGACGGTGCATTTCGTTGCCTAACAAATTCGTTAACAAATAGTACACAAAATAATGTACTATTTTAACGAATAATGAGTTAAGCTGAAAAGAAACTGTGAGTAATAAATTGCCCATATGTTTATTTGTTAATAAATGCTAATAGTTGAATAAAGTTCAAAGCTTATATTTCTTATTATCTATAGATATCTATCATTTATAGATATAGATATAGATAGATAGTGATAGATGAATTATGGTTCATATATTTTATGAAATTGTATGAATTATTATTTATACTCAGTTTCAGTATTATAAAAGTTCAAATAATGTAAGTTGAAAAGAAGCTGTGAGTAATAAATTGCCCATATATATATATTCATATAATAATATTCATATAATAGACAATATAGTTTCAAATCATCCTTTTTGACAATTTCATCCATAATAAAACTTGAAGAAGACTCTATTTCTTTCTAGCAACCTGTTCTATTTGGTGGTCGATTGTATCGAAACGTTTGGACCTAGGTACGTCTACTCCTGGTTACCCACATTTGATCCCCTGGTCCACCCCCTCGTTGTTGGCTCCGGTCTAAGAGTGTCGGGCGCAACCCAACCTCGCCGACGCTACCCGATGGGAATTTCGAAAAAAGTTAATCCATTGTCGACCCGATTAGTCTTCTTCTCCCCCACCTGGTCCGACGAGCGCCTCAACCGACAACATCGTTGTAGTTCCTCCACCAGCCGCCTTCGGCCCTTGTCGGTGCCAGCCACTGCGCTATCCTAGACATCACCGGCAGTATCGAATGATGCAGACAACAAGCGGTGTTGTAAAAGTCGAAATTCGGTAAGGAGTGTGTTATGATTCTCCTGCAGAATCACCTAGCCCTGGCGCTGCAGCGAGTTGGGAGAGCGTTGGGCCTGCCTCGACGCCCTGTAGTGTGGACCAGGTGAGGCAAATCCCGATGCATATCTTGGCGATTGTAGCAGTTATTTAAGAACTTTTCTG